ATAGTTTGCACATATGCTAACTAGCATCTCCTATGTTTTCTTCATTTTCTTCAAACCTTCATGAAGCTGCTCCTCAGTGGACATATCTTCCAAGGCAGGCTGGGGTGGCTGGCTTTTGGTTTTGCTTTTGGCTTTGCCTTTGCCATTCCCCTTTGCAGGGGCACCCTTCCCAGGGCCTTGCTCTGACAGCAAGCCGATGAGATCTTTGCCCAGCAGCTGGTCCCAAGCATCTTCTTCCTGGCTTGCAGCCAGCTTTTGTTGTGCTTGCCAGTGAGAGCTTTGGAAAAACCCTGGGTGTCCATGTATTCCCACACATCCCATGTCCCAGCAGCTTGGCGGTAGACCACTCTTCCTGATTCTAAGTGTTTGTCCAGGTCTGCCTGTCCCCATTTGTCGAGGGCTTGCTTCTCACTAAGCCACTTCTCCTTTTTGCAAAGGGAACTCTCGAGACTGGTCTGCTTGGAGACGGAACAAAATTTGGCAGCCTCTGTCCTCATGAGGTACAGTGCAGTCTTGAAACCCTGTTCCTTTTTGGAGCTTTCCTCAAACTCTTTTTTTCCGCCTCAATCCCAGTCATTTTCAAGTGTGCTGCATGCTTTTGCCATGCGCTATTTTTTTCAGCAGCAGTCATTTCATCCCTCAGGACCATGGCTGCTTCCACCTCATCTTCTTGCTCTTCAGCAATCTTTTTAATTTTGTCCTTGGGGGTGAGTTGGCACAACTTTTTCAAATTGCCCTTCTTCAAGGGTGCAGTCTTGGAACTTCTGGCAGGTGGTGATTTCATTGTTTTTTGCCCTTTTGCAAAAGCTTCTTTACAGCTTTCATTGCCTTAGAGCTGCTAGACTTCATTGCCTTCATGGCTTTCATTGCTTTGGGCATTTCCTGTTGGGAAAGCCCTTTCCCAGAGGCACCAAAGCTGCTGCTTTCCAGGCAACCCTCTCACAAGGGCACTCTAAATAGTTTTACGGCTAAGCTTTCAAGCCAAAAAGGGCTGCAGATTGGAGGTAGCCAGAAACCTTGGTTTTTTTTGGGGGGGATATGGTGAAAAATGGTGAAGCAGGGTGAAACAGGGTGAAATATGATGTTTTCACCATGATTCACCATGCTCCACCATATTTCATATTTGGGTTATGCTACAGCTCGTGGTGTTTACCCCATTAGTTTTTACTTTCAAATATCATTACATTTCATCAATTGTGTGACCTTTTGTGGTGTTCCCCAAATGGTTTCATTCAAACTTGAAGGGTTCTAAGGGACCTTTAGGTTTCCTGATAAACTTCTTAACCAAACAAAGTAAAACGGTGTTTGGCATCCACAGCCATCTTGCCCAGCCCTCAAGGCAGCTCCTCTAGTTTTGCTATGCCAGTTTGGCTTGCCTCTGGTTTCTTTTCACCTGGCTGCTGCCCTGAAAAACAAAACAAAACTTTCATAGTCAAGTGGTTTGTTTCAACAACTGGGACAGCAGCCAGGTGACCCAAAACATGCAAGGTGAAACTTGCCCTTATTGGAAGGGCTCTGTGCTTTTGAATTATCCCTCTTTCAAGGGCTCTTTGCTCTTGAGCTGCCCCTCTTTCAAGGGTTTTTTTTTCCTGTTGAATTGCCACTCTTTCAAGGGCTTTGTGCTTTTTTGGATAGTCCCTCTTTCAAGAGTTCATTGCTTTTGGTTTGCCCCTCTTTCAAGGGGGTTGGTGCTTTCACTGCCCAGCCCTTTTGCAATGGTGGCAGCTGCTTTCACTCAACTGCCTTCATCCTGCAAAAACGCCTTGACAGCATCTGCCAGGGTGGGGAAAGATTTTTCCCCATCCTGTCCCACCACTGGTGTTTTGCCTCTCTGGTCTGGATTGGGTAGACATCCAGCCCTTTTTCAAAGGCTTCTTTGCAGGAGTCTGGTGCATCATCCATCAGCACCTGGATGCCCGTGTCAAGGGATATTGCGGCCTTGCCACCATGTTTAGTCCTTTGCTGGATGCAGAAAGCATCCTCCAGCTCCCCAAACCAGGTTTGGCCCTTCAGGGTGTCCATCACTTCTTGCTCCCTTTTTGGAAGGAGCAGGGGCAGATGGTGACTGGGTGCTTGGCAAGCAGGAGCTTCTCCACAGCTGCATGGTTTGCAGGTGGGATGGCATTCCCTATTTCTATGGTGTTGTGAAAGTCAATCATCACATGTTTTCCCCTCTTTTCAGAGGTGCTTCTGGTGCTCCCTTCTGCCTTGTTGTCAGAGGAGCTTGCCTGTTCAGAACTGCACCACATTTCAGGGGCCTTCTTTTCCTCCTCCTGGTCCACGTTCACATCTTTGACGCCTGGGGTGCCTTCTTCTTTTTCTTTTTCATCACCCTCCTCCTCCTGCTTCATCTCCTTCTGGGCCTTTTTGTGGTGCATTGGCTTCTCATTCTGATCCAGCCAGTCTTGCCTGCCTTTCTCTTTTTTCCTATAGATTTTCACACCCACCACAGAGGCATGGCTGCTGTTGCTGCTGGACCTTTGCCTTGCCTTTTTCCCTGTTTCAAGGGTGATAGAGGAACTGCTCTCATCTTCTTCTTCTTCTTCTTCTTCTTCTTCTTCTTCTTCACTTTCACTGATTCCACTGAGCTTGCCTCTTAGGCCCAGCTCTCTGTCCCTATCACATCTGTCATCATCAGATGGCTCATGGTTTTTCTTTCTTCCCCTCCTTCCTGCAGGGGATCTTTTTTTTGCCCTATTTTTTAGGGGTGGTGGTGGGACTTCTGCTTTTGAGCCTGATGGTGTGGATTCTTCATCCCACCCCCATGCCTGCCAGCCCCATTCTCTGTTGTAAGGGCCTTCTTCCCATCCACCTCTTTCCCAAGAGTTGCCCTGCCACCCACCTCTTTCCCAAGAGTTGTCCTCCCATCCATCTCTTTCCCAACTCCCTGCTGTTGCAAGTGCAGCCTCCTCTGCTGCCTTGCTTTGCTGGTTGCCCCTTTTCCAAAGGTTCTGCCAGCCTTGTTGAGGGAAGGGTCCTCATGCACTTTGTTTTTCCTGCCAGCTTTCCCGGGACATCCCTGCCCCTAGGATGAAAACCACCCTCTTTCCAGGGGAATTTCACAAACAAAACCGGCTTTTTTGACTTGAAAAAAACAGCTTGAAGCTGAAAGGGCTGCAGCATACATGTACACATGGGACATGGGCTACTAAATGTATATATGCAGTTTCATACATTTAGTAACATGTTGACATGTCATGTTATGAGCAGAAAGTGTTATCTTGGATTCAATGACACCATAAACCTTATTTTACCAAATTGTTTTCCCTTCCCCACCCAAAAAAACAAGCCGCAACAGCTGCAGACAGACGGCAGCTTTTTTGCCACCATCTCACAGGTGAGTTGGGCCACACTCTGTGGTGTGGCTGACACTGTATAGCCTCAGAGCCCTTTTGCAAAGGCTTTGTTGGTATGACACCTTTGCAACTGCAATTTTGGAAAAGACCCTTTTGCAAAGGCCTTCATGGCAAGACCCTTTTTTCAAGGCCTTTCTGGCAGGACCCTTTTGCAAAGGCCTTCATGGCAAGACCCTTTTTTCAAGGCCTTTCTGGCAGGACCCTTTTGCAAAGGCCTTCTTGGCAAGACCCTTCTGCAAAGGCCTTCTTGGCAAGACCCTTTTGCAAAGGCCTTCTTGGAAAGACCCTTTTGCAAAGGCATTGCTGGCAACACCCTTTTGCAAAGGCATTGCTGGCAACACCTTTTCACAAAGGCGGGCATATGTGTTCACACATGCATGCACCCATAAGTGCTTGCACTGCAAGCTTGGGGGACATTTTACAACCCCCCAATGCTTGCAAGTGGCACCCTTTTGCAAAGGTGTTGCCACTCAAGGGTGCTCGAAGCAAAGCTTACCCCTCAAAGCTATGGCTTCTTCTTTGCTCAGATTCTCCTTTTTCAAGGCTTGCATGATTTTGTCGATCACTTTAAGGTACTGCTTGCTTCTCACCCTGCTGACCTCAACGATCAGCCTGCTCTTTTCTCAAGTTTCTTATTCTCTCGACGTGTCTCTTTCCTGACATCCGTTTCTCTCGGCATGCCTTTTCCTTGAAATCTCTTTCTCTTGAAGTCTTGGCATCTTTTTCTTGCTTCTCTCTTTCCCTTGGCATGTCTTTTTCTTGAGGTCTCTTATTCTCTCGGCATGTCTCTTTCCTGACATCCGTTTCTCTCGGCATGCCTTTTCCTTGAAATCTCTTTCTCTTGAAGTCTTGGCATTTTTTTCTTGACGTCTCGCTTTCCATTGGCATGTCTTTTTCTTGAAGACTCTTTTTCTCTCGGCATGTCTCTTTCCTGACATCCGTTTTTCTCGGCATGCCTTTTCCCCGAAATCCCTTTCTCGTGCAGTCATGGCATCTTTTTCTTGACGACTATCTTTCCCTTGGCATATCTTTTGGAATAATGACGCATATGGCGCAGAAAATAAAAAGAAGTGAACTAAGTGTAGATCTGTGAGCGCTAGAGCAGCCGAAAAAACTGAATGGGTGCATATGGGGGAGGGAAGATTGTCCTTCGAAGGACATGTAGGGGAAGAAAGGGGTCGGGAAGGAAAAGGGATGATGAGGGGGCAGAATACAAAGAGTGAGTGGAAGAGGGCAAAAAGAACGGACGAAGAGACGAAAGGAGTAGAAGAAAGACCGAGGAACAGGAGTGTAAAACGTAAAAGAGGCACCAGGGGTAGTGGCGACGACAAAGGGAAGTGCACAGAAGAGAGAAAACGGAGTCTTCTTTTCTTAAGTTCTCTTGTTCTCTCGGCATGTCTCTTTCCTATTCTTTCCTGACATCCGTTTCTCTCGGCATGCCTTTCCCTTGAAATCTCTTTCTCTTGAAGTCTTGGCATCTTTTTCTTGACGTCTCTTTTTCCCTTGGCATGTCTTTTTCTTGAGGTCTCTTATTCTCTTGGCATGTCTCTTTCCTGGCATCCGTTTCTCTCGGCATGCCTTTTCCTTGAAATCTCTTTCTCTTGAAGTCTTGGCATCTTTTTCTTGACGTCTCTCT